GACGCCTCTTTTTGGTCAACTGTATTTGCTTTTCCCACAGTACATTAAGCTATAACTTCTTTTAACTACTCATCAGCTAATTGAAACAGCAATGGAAGAAAATCCAAATAATATGACTAGCCAGGAAACAACTTCTGACAGAAATTTCCGTCGACGCACTAGATATGCACAAATGTCACCGGAGAGAAAACAATTGCTTTTATCCCAACTAAGAGAAAAAAGGGCTGAATCAAAACGACAAAAAAACCTTCACCAATCAAATAGTACTGCCGCTCTTACAATTAGCACTTCTTCTTCAGTTCCTCAACAAGGTTAGCTACGCATATTCTTATCTTCCTTCTGTGAAATCTCTCTGCTGAATATCTATAGCTATACTTACACGATTCAACTAACGTACTATTAATACGTTTTTTTACCTCACTTTGTGATTATAGCTTCCAAAAATACAAATGTACCGTCTGATTCACCTACAGGAGAGCATATAGTTACTTGCTTATCTACCTCCGAGCTAGGTCAATTCAGAAATATTACTTCCACTATTTTGACTATATTCATTTTTACTAATTACATTGCTATTTGTAAATATTTCTATTTGTCCAAATAGATAGAACTTTCCCAATAGGAAGAGCCGAACATTATCCTTATTTCTTAACCAGAATCAATTTACATGTATGAATAAAACTAGGGTGCTTTCAAATGGTGACAAGTCATTTGCAAATGCATATAATATGTGCTACTTATTTCCCATATCGTCTCTTCACTATATTTTGCTGCTAATAGTAAATCATCGTGACAATATTGTTTGTTCCTCACAAATTTTTGGACCATATAGTGTTTTTATTTGCGCACAATATTTGCAATAGTTATCTCCCTTTACTAACAGTGCAAGACAACCTAATGAAGTCATGCTCTCCCTTTCCATTATTCCAATGCTCAAAATCGTTCTACATAATAACAATGGATTCATCCTTCGTAGCAACATCAAGGTTTTCATATGGCTATTGAAATACCAAACTACCTTCACACTATCAAAACATCTTCTATTACATAGGTAATGTTTCATTTGTGGTACTCTACAGTCTTATGGCTTCAAACACAGCAGATCATGTACTCATTGTAGAAACAACTACTCATTCAATCAATTCCAGATGTTTTCTATGCATTAGTCCCTCGAAATGTTGCACTACTTATATGATGTTTGTCATTACTCCATATTACACTGCTGCTGCCAGACGCCTCTTTTTGGTCAACTGTATTTGCTTTTCCCACAGACTGTTGTCACAAGCCTTTTTTCCCCCAGTGTATGTCTTTTTCCCCCCATTACATTACGTTATAAGTTATTTTAACAAATCATCAATTAGTTGAAACAGGAATGGAAGAACATACAAATAATGTGCCTACCCAGCAAAGAACTTCTGACACAAATTTGCGTCGACGCACTAGATATGCACAAATGTCATCGGAGAGAAAACAATTGCTTTTATCCCAACTAGAAAAAAAGGGCTGAATCAAAAAGACAAAAAACCCTTCGTCAATCAAATAGTACTGCTGCTCTTACAATTACCAATTCTTCTTTATCTCGTGAACAAGGTTACCTATGCATGTTCTTATCTTCCTTTGGTCAAATCTCTCTTTTCAATATCTATAGCCATACTTACAAGCTTCACCTGACGTACTGTTAATAGTATTTATTCTCCTCATTTTGTGCTTGCTAGCTTCCAAACGTCCAAACGTCCATCTGCTTCAACCAGAGGAGAACATATAGTTACTTGCTTATCTACCTTTGAACTAGGTCAGTTCACAAATATTAGTTCCATTATTTACTCTATATTCATTTGTCATAATTACTTAGCTATCTCTAAATATTTGTGCTCCTCATACTAGGATCGACATCAACTACATCTCATGTTGCAAGCAAATTAACTTCAACACGTACTGCAAATAAATGTATGAATGTTTCTACCAAAATCATTAAAAACACTGCAATCTTCTGACTTTATATGTAACAACTCAATGCTTTTTACGACGCACAGGCAAATATAAGTTAGAAATCAATCTACAAAATGATAATTTAATGCCAAAAGATTACTTGCTTTTAAAAAAAGTTACCAAATTGCAAATTCTGTGTAGCAAAAAGGTTTCAGTATGAATCACCCGGTTTTTGTTGTGATAATGGATCAATTAAACTAAGCTCTCATAACATGCCTACTGACTTGCGAAATTTCTTCTTGGGTGATTCCAAAGAATGTCAACATTTTCGCACTTACAGTAGAGCCTACAATAATATGTTTGCCTTCACTTCACTTGGAGTACATTATGATAGAGAATTAGCAAAGAGAAATCATGGTATTTACACATTTAGAGTCCAAGGACAAATGTATCACTTCATTGATGATTTGATACCCTCAACAGGAAAAGCAACAAATTTACAGTTATATTTCTATGATAATGAAAATGAGCTAACAAATGGAATGACGTTATCAGCTAATCTTAATGAGCTGATTATTACCAAGCTCATGGATATGCTTACACTTAATGCTTATTCTACTTTTTTGAGATCGTTAATAGTTGTTCCAAATTTATTTGAATTTTATATTGCTCTAAACTCAAGTTCCAATTTAGACCAAAGAACATATAACTTACCAACTGCATCCAAAGTTGGGGCAATTTGGATTGAAGATCAATTAAATGATAAAATTCCCACACCACATATTCGAATTTACACTCATAGTAACAAAACCCAATTGGTCAATTACTATTATGGTTGTTATGACCCATTACAGTATCCGCTATTGTTTTCTTATGGTCAAAATGGCTGGCATTGTGGTATTAAAAAAATCAACAACACATATACTTCTTCCAAAACAACAAACACTTCTGAATATGACCAACTACCAAGTGTAAAGAACATCACTTCTATCGATAGACTCCTTCACATCGAGTCTACTGTTTTATCAAAAGGCTTAAGAGAAAGAGACACTGTTTCTTGTCGTGAATATTACTGTTATAAATTTCAAATAAGAGATGAAGAACCAAATGAAACTTTACATTCTGGAAGGCTATTTCAACAATACATAGTTGACCAATATATCAAACTTGAGACACAAAGATTAGATTTTGTTTCATTTAATCAAGATCTCTTTAGAGTTGAAGCCTTTCAAGGAATTATTGATTTATTAAGGCAAGGAGAAAGAGATGCTTCCAATATTGGCAGACAAAAATTCCTTCCTGGTAGTTTTATAGGAGGCCCAAGAGATATGCGTCGAAGATATATGGATGCCATTGCTTTGGTACAACATTTTGGAAAACCCGACATATTTTTGACGATGACTTGTAATCCTTGTTGGCCTGAAATACAGGAACATTTACACCCAATGGAAGAAGTTCAAAACAAACCTGATTTAGTTAGTAGAGTATTCAGAGCAAAAGTAGAAGAACTTAAAACAGATATTCAAAAAACCAACATATTTGGAAAGATTGCAGCTTTTATGTATACAATTGAGTTTCAAAAACGAGGTCTTCCACATGCCCATTTTCTCATTATACTTACAAATAGATATAAATTGCTAACGCCACAATCATATGATCAAATTGTATGTGTTGAATTACCTGATCCTCATATTGATCATCATCTATACAAACTTGTGACCAAGCACATGATCCACGGTCCTTGTGGCAATTTCAATCCTTCAAATTCTTGCATGCAGAAAGATGGCAAATGTAAGTTTAAATATCCAAAGCAACTTACCGAGCAAACAACTAATGGAAAAAATTCGTATCCTCTTTACAAGAGACCAAAAATGATCACACCAATCAAAGTTAGAGGACACAACATTGATAATTCTTGGACTGTCCCGTACAATCCGTTTTTGCTTAAGAAATTCGGTTGTCATATTAATGTTGAAATATGTTCTGACATTAAGGTTATCAAATACATTTACAAATATATTTGCAAAGGACATGACAAAATTGCATTCTCTGTACATAATAATGATACTAATGTAGAAATAGATGAAATCAAATAATACCAATCTGTTAGATGGGTTTCTCCTCCAGAAGCTGCGTGGCGTCTGTTTGCTTTTTCAATAAGTGAAATGACTCCAAGTGTTTGCCAATTGCAATTGCATCTTGATGGACAACAATTTGTTTCTTTCAAAAATAACCAAACTATTGATCAAATAATAAACAATCCAATGATAAAGAAAACGATGTTAACAGAATTTTTTGTTATGAACAAAATGAATAACGATGCTATAAATCTAAATTTACTTCATAAAGAGTTTCCCCAACACTTTGTATGGTCATCATCATACAAAATGTGGTCACGGCGAAAACAACGAGTTACTATTGGACGTATTGTCACGTGTCATCCAACCGAAGGAGAAAGATATTATCTTAGGTTGCTTCTAATGAACATAAGAGGACCAAAATCATACGAAGATCTACGTACAATCGATGTAAAATGTTACACTACATTTAGAGAAGCTGCAGAAAAAAAAGGGTTATTGCATTCTGACAACAACTTAATTTAGTGTATGTCTGAAGCTGTAAGCTATCAAATGCCTTATAGTTTAAGAAGATTATTTGCAACATTATTAGTTTTTTGTAATCCTGGTAACCCAAAAGATATTTGGAAAAAATATGAAGACTCTATGTCAGAAGATTTTAAACGAATTTCAACTATTACCAAACAAAAAATGCAGCAATCAGTTTTAAATCATATCAATGAAGTTCTACTTTCAATGTTATGAACAAAATGAATAACGATGCTATAAATCTAAATTTACTTTATAAAGAGTTTCCCCAACACTTTGTATGGTCATCATCATACAAAATGTGGTCACGGCGAAAACAACGAGTTACTATTGGACGTATTGTCACGTGTCATCCAACCGAAGGAGAAAGATATTATCTTAGGTTGCTTCTAATGAACATAAGAGGACCAAAATCATACGAAGATCTACGTACAATCGATGGAAAATGTTACACTACATTTAGAGAAGCTGCAGAAAAAAAAAGGGTTATTGCATTCTGACAACAACTTAATTCAGTGTATGTCTGAAGCTATAAGCTATCAAATGCCTTATAGTTTAAGAAGATTATTTGCAACATTATTAGTTTTTTGTAATCCTGGTAACCCAAAAGATATTTGGAAAAAATATGAAGACTCTATGTCAGAAGATTTTAAACGAATTTCAACTATTACCAAAAAAAATATGCAGCAGTCAGTTTTAAATCATATCAATGAAGTTCTACTTTCAATGGGACATAACATAAATGAATTCAAAGATATATTTGGAAATGTTAGCTTCTGTAAAACAACAAATGATGCCAAAGAAATATATTTCGAAAGAAATATAATAGTCTCTGAAAAAGATATACATCTTCAAAGCAAATTAAATGTTCAACAAAAAAGGGCATATGACATAATTCTTGAAAGAGTATATTCCAATAAATCAGGAGCTTTTTTCATTGATGGTCCTGGTGGAACTGGAAAAACTTTTCTTTATCGAGCTTTGTTGGCTGCTATAAGAACAAAAGGATCCATAGCTTTGGCAACTGCAAGTTCAGGTGTCGCAGCTTCAATACTTCCAGGAGGACGAACAGCTCATTCGCGTTTCAAAATTCCTATTGACATCGATGAAAACTTCACTTGCAATATTAGTAAACAAAGTTCCCTAGCTACTCTAATTTGAGATTCAAAGTTAATTGTTTGGGATGAAGTCTCAATGGCAAAGAGAAACACCATTGAAGCTCTTGATACACTTTTAAAAGATCTTATGAATACAAAAACACTTTTTGGTGGAAAAGTTGTAGTTTTTGGGGGAGACTTCAGACAAACACTTCCTGTTGTTCGTAATGGGAAAAAGGAAGACTTTATTACTCAAAGTTTATTATACTCTCATATTTGGAATCATCTAGAAAAATTGTGCTTATCTGAAAACATGCGTGCAAAAGAAGATCCAGCATTTTGTGCATATTTAACGAGAATTGGAAATGGACAAGAGAAAACTAACAACTGCAACAAAATTGAAATTCCCAATAATTTTGTTATTCCCTTTACAGAAGAAATAGAATCTTTGAATCTTTTGTTTAATGTAACATATCCTGATTTCCATACATTCTATTCCATCATTTCAGCTGTAGCTTTCAAATTGATCTTATTGACGGCACTGCTACAACCACAACATCTATCTCTGCTGAATTAGGAGAAAAATTACTGTGCATGGCAGCAGAAGACATATTTGACATAACTTGCACTAAGGTTAGCTCTCATTCCCGCTGCCTACTTGTACAGACCTATTGTCATAATACCATATATCCTCAGCACACACACTTTAGCACATATGCTTTGTTGTAAACTATTTGTTCCAACTTGTTACATTTACAGCGACATTCATTGTCTCTTACTCATGTCCATGAAATGCTGTCAAACAAAGTATTCGAAATTCAGCTAAGGAAGTCATCTTGGAGCAGCTCAAATACCACACATGCAAGCTTCTCCGTTCTTTCCTACATCGAAAAACCACATACACCACAGAGCACTATCAAACCTTTGGAAATAAGTGAGGTAGAAGTCATGGCAACAACTACTGCAGCTGGTGCTTCAAATCCAATGCCAAAATTTGAACCACCCACACCAACGAAAAAGGTGTAAAAGGTGAGTCTACTTCTCACTTTCACGCCAACGTATAGGTCACAATGATTATCGCTTGCACATATTCACAAGTATTTCAACAAATACTGCTAAAAGTCTCTACTTTTAGCTTTACTTTACTTTCTGTTACACACATAACCATATAGTTCATGTGAAACATTGTAAATGTCATACTACTGCTTTTGTATTTGCTCTTATCTACTTTCAAATTTCTACTTTTTTTCCCATTTATGCCTCACATCACATTCGAAACTCTCACATTTATTCAGGGCTAAAAACTCTCTATCCATGTTCATACCCACTGTCAAATCAATTGGTTAACAATTTATTTTTAACTCCTCATCTCATGTTCACTGTTGAATTAGCTTATTTTTGTTCTAACAATTGACCACCTTCATTACTTCACAGTTAGCAACACCTCTTTCTCACACTGCCCCTAATTTCTTACTCCTTCGTATTTATACTCCTTCCAAAATATCACCTCACATCCAATCAAAGTGTCGTTCAGACCAAAAAACCAAAGTTGGACTGTTGACTTTTCAATAGGACCACTGTTGCTCACATTCATATTAATCACATTCAAAGAAATCCTTATGACTGCTGTGTGCTTGCGATACCATAAAATTACAGCGTCCCTTTGCTGTTTGGTTATTGTTTGTCATTTCAAAAAAGAAGATCCAGCATTTTGTGCATATTTAATGAGAATTGGAAATGGACAAGAGAAAACTAACAACTGCAACAAAATTGAAATTCCCAATAATTTTGTTATTCCCTTTACAGAAGAAATAGAATCTTTGAATCTTTTGTTTAATGTAACATATCCTGATTTCCATACATTCTATTCCATCATTTCAGCTGTAGCTTTCAAATTGATCTTATTGACGGCACTGCTACAACCACAACATCTATCTCTGCTGAATTAGGAGAAAAATTACTGTGCATGGCAGCAGAAGACATATTTGACATAACTTGCACTAAGGTTATCTCTCATTCCCACTGCCTACTTGTACCCAGCTATTGTCATAATACCATATATCCGCAGCACACACACTTTAGCACATATGCTTTGTTGTAAACTATTTGTTCCAACTTGTTACATTTACAGCGACATTCATTGTCTCTTACTCATGTCCATGAAATGCTGTCAAACAAAGTATTCGAAATTCAACTAAGGAAGTCATCTTGGAGCAGCTCAAATACCACACATGCAAGCTTCTCCGTTCTTTCCTACATCGAAAAACCACATACACCACAGAGCACTACTCATAGGACTTCTAAAAAGATCAAACCTTTGGAAATAAGTGAGGTAGAAGTCATGGCAACAACTACTGCAGCTGCTGCTTCAAATCCAATGCCAAAATTTGAACCACCCACACCAACGAAAAAGGTGTAAAAGGTGAGTCTACTTCTCACTTTCACGCCAACGTATAGGTCACAATGATTATCGCTTGCACATATTCACAAGTATTTCAACAAATACTGCTAAAAGTCTCTACTTTTAGCTTTACTTTACTTTCTATTACACACATAACCATATAGTTCCTGTGAAACATTGTAAATGTCATACTACTGCTTTTGTATTTGCTCTTATCTACTTTCAAAATTTCACTTTTTTTTCCCATTATGCCTCACATTCACATTTCGAAACTCTCACATTTATTCAGGGCTAAAAACTCTCTATCCATGTTCATACCCACTGTCAAATCAATTGGTTAACAATTTATTTTTTAACTCCTCATCTCATGTTCACTGTTGAATTAGCTTATTTTTGTTCTAACAATTGACCACCTTCATTACTTCACAGCCAGCAGCACCTCTTTCTCACACTGCCCCTAATTTCTTACTCCTTCGTAGTTATACTCCTTCCAAAAAGTCACCTCACATCCAATCAAAGTGTCGTTCAGACGAAAAAACCAAAGTTGGACTGTTGACTTTTCAATAGGACCACTGTTGCTCACATTCATATTAATCACATTCAAAGAAATCCTTATGACTACTGTGTGTTTGCGATACCATAAAACTATAGCGTCCCTTTGCTGTTTGGTTATTGTTTGTCATTTCACACTGCAATACAAGCCTATCCACATGGTCACTTTTGCTTATAATAGGGACACAATACAATGAATGACTCTCCCTATGCTCTGGTTTTTTGCATGAGGAACATTAGCTATGGCGAAGCAAACTGCAACATCCTCTAAATATGTCATAAACAATGACATGCTAATCTTATTTACCAAAACTGCAACATGTACTATATTATTTTGCTTATATTACATTACTTAGTATGTGCAAATAGTTAAAATCGACACCATGCTAATGTCTATTGTACATATTAATATAATATATAATATTATCCATCTTCTACAAACACCTTCATCCTTCATTCATTAATATTAAAAAAATTTCAAAACCATAATATTTTGACTATTGGGCCCGTGCTTGCCACGGGCCTCCCTACCCTAGTATACAAATAGATTGCTTTTAGCCGTTCCGGCCAATCACTCTCTTTTATTCGCCTTACTTGATAAAATCCTCGGTTGCTTATCTCCAAAGCTAACCGTTGCCCTTTCAGGAAGAGGTGAGAAAGAGAGCGCCAAACAAATGGCTCCGAAGAACTTGTCGTTCAAGGTTTGCTTTTTCACCCACTGATGAACTGTACTCGTTTATCTCAAATCTTTCTTTTGAGGATTAACACAATGCTCTCTCCTTGAAAGTTAATGTTTTCTTTTCTACATTCTTTAATATACTGTAAATTACTAATGGTTCCATATGTTTAAAGATAATCTTGGGTTCGTCCTCAATGGCACGTCGCAAAATTCTAGCGGACATGGGTTATGAATTTACAGTTATGGTACGTTCAATTTTGTTTTAAAAGATTCTGTATTTTTCTAAAACTCGCTTTTTCTGGTCAGATTAGGTCTTGGACCTGGTCTTACGACTCTTAGTTTTCTTTTAAGAGTCGATTTCGACTTATATTTAAATTGTTTTGTGGAGTAGGGTGCCGACATTGATGAAAAGAGGATTAGGAAGGATAATGCAGAGGAATTAGTGGTAGCTCTAGCAGAGGCAAAGGTATACTACCTCTTCTCTATTCAGGGCGGCTCAACAGATTTGGAGACCTAAAGCGAAATTTTAATTAGAGGCCTAAATTTTTTTTAAATGAGACAATTATTATATGAATTGTTAACATTATTCTATAAGCATTAAATTGACAAAATTGCTTATAAACTTTTTTTGGTTTAAAAACACATAAAATAAGTCAATCTAGAGAGACTTGCTGTTTACTTTATTCAACACATTTTTGCTATTGATTTACTATATTTTTGACAAGAGTATTATTCTAACTTATCATAGAGTATAAAAGGGGTTTAAAAAATAATAATGTGACTGTTAGCGAAAAGAAGGTAAGAAGACAAAACAAAGTTTTCTTGATTTCTTCTATTTGATTGAATTTAAGGAGAATAAATAATATGATTATTTTTTTTATAAAAGAGATACATTTATCATAAATAATTTTTTTTATAAAAAAATAAAATAATACATAATTTATTTTTGGTAAAAAATTGAGGCCGCCCCTGAAATTGGGGGCCTAATGCATGTGCCTTATTTTTATAAACATTGAGCCGGCACTGTCTCTATTAGGGGTGTGTTTGGTACGGAGAACGAGAAAATATTTTTCAATTTTCTCATATATGATATTTTTTCTAGAAAAAACGACTTTCAAGGGAACAAATTTCAAAACTGACATTTCAAGTTAATTGTCTCCTCCTACCACACCCCCATGTTAACCCCATAGTTTTGATTACTTACCAAACTAGAAAATAAGTAAGAAATCCGCTTGTTTTCTGAGAAAATATTTTCTAGGAAATCCTTTTCCAAGAAAATAATGTATTGACGGCTTTCAACTCTTGCATTTGAGTCTAGGAAAAATGCTTGTTATCTGCTGTCTTCCTGATGACATTTTTCTTGTCTTCAGAATTAATTTCACTACGTAATTGGTAGTTCGCCAAAACCAGTATTGCTAGAATTAGGTTTGAAACTTCAATCAAATCTATTTTATCCAAGTAACATGAAACAAAGATCTTTGTAGTGTATCTGGCAGGATGTTATTCTTCTAAGTAACACAAATCACCCTATAAAAGTATAAAGGCCAGGAGTAATTTTAGTGCAGTTATCTGAGGAGTTCTGTTGATAATTGTGTAGAACATGATATCAATAAGAAGGTCAAAATCCAAGATTCTTGTGATTGGGTGAGATTTATTATTCAGCGTTCCCTTGGCATCTTTTGTGTCCCAACTAACTTTCAATCATTCTGCCCATCAGTGATTTATGTTATGAAATTTCCATTTGATGGTTAGGGACTATCTATAAATGGGTACTTCTCTTCTGCTGATAATGGACTGATCCTGAATAGTTCGTCTCACTATAATCAACTCACTTGGTTTCCTTCCATTCCCATGACACTCTAGTTGTGCCGTATAAATTAAGACCGAGGGAGTAATATGTAATACAGTGATATCATGTTCCAGTGCTTTAAGAGCAAATCTTATGTTTACTTACGGGTTCTGTTCTTCTTAGGCAGATGCTATCATGTCAAGGCTCAAAACAACTGATCATTTGGAGGAAAATACCCATTCCACTCTGTTAATTACTGCAGATACAGTATGTTTACTTCTCCCCATTAGAATATTTCAAGTGCTATAGCCTTGTTTAGTTTAATACTAAGCCCATATTCACAGTTATTTCTCTGATTGAATTGAGAGCTTATCAGAAACCATTTAATGCTTTGTTTATCATTTATTGCAAAACTAGTTGGTGATATAGGCACACTTAGCAATAACTAAAAAACAGCAGTACAAAATTTTAGCTAGTAACTTTGCATAGAGAAGTCTGATAAAGTGTTGAAATTAGCTTGATGTTAGTTCTTTTATGCAAGCAGCTGGCCTACCTTGTATTGACATTTTAGATTGACACTTATTGTGTCGTTAGCTCATTTCTAGTCTTTTATTTTGCTCTCTGGATTCATTTGAAATTTGATGTTCCTGCTCCATGATTTGACAATCTTAATTTAATATCACTGTTAAATAGCATATTGCAAAAATTAGAATACTTGAGCCCTTCTAATGATTTTTCTCTTGGATGAAGAATAGATCTTTTTGGCTATATCTTACCTACATCTATTGGTATCAAGGTGGCTGTGTACGATGGAATTATTAGAGAAAAGCCATCAAGTAAGGAAGAAGCGCGTCAGTTCATCAAAAGTATGTTTGTATTTGCGGTCTGCAGTTCCCTCCAGTATCTCAGCTAAGCAGGTTATTCTTTTTCTTTTCTACCAATATTACTGTTCTTGTTATTATGAATTGCAGGTTATTCTGGTGGTCAAGCCACGGTTGTAGGATCTGTCGTTGTGACCAACCTTACAAAGGGCATAAGAAAAGGAGCTTGGGAAAGGTCAGAGGTATATCTTTTACTCCATGTGAAGTAATTCCTACATGCTGGAGACTATTGAAATACAACTATGCATTTATATCGTACATTCTTGCTTAAGTTGATATGTTCCAATGGTGACATAGGCTTAACTGCATCTGATGCATGAGTGTATGTGATGTGGTAGTGAGGATTAAGGTGATGTGACATTTCGAAGATATGTCAGGTATCTAATTATAGATATTTGAATAAGTATATGCTTATCCCAGCCTGTGACTTTGAGTTTATTTGATCCCCATCCGTACAAATGATTTTTTTTCTAGAAACTAGAAGGATTATTTTGTAGTTATATCCACCGTGCGTGAGACTTTAAATAAAGAGACCGTACATTCTTTGATAAACTAGACTGCAGCTAGGAAGATATCAATTGCCTGATTTTACCAAGTTCCCTTATGCCAATATAAACAACCATAGTTTACAAGTGGAGTTCTTGCGGAGCAATTCCTTTGCAGTTTCTATTTTGTGAATTGTGACATCAATTTCATCCTTGAAATTTACTGCTAGGTCTTTGAATGTTGGGATCATTAGAATACATGAATTACTGGGTCTCTGGTATAATATTGGAGCCTGAAAATTACCAGTAATTGATGTGACTATTGTAGGCTTATAGCTAGTTCAAATAGCATTTTTCCCAGCTGGAAACTGTATGTTGAGTAGGAGCTCGTTCATCAGTCTATGAGTGGAAAGAGACCTAAACCTTGACTTATCTACCTATATAAACAGACAGGCACAAGTTGAGTCAATAATGGAGAGAGACTATGAATAGATTGATTTCTATTTAGCACGCATGAGCATTTACAATTCCAGGCCTCTAATAAGGTAGTACCTTTGGAAAATTGCCTAGGTTTCTAAATTTTCATCTCTGCTAGGCCTTGGCATAGAGAATTGTATCTGCTATCACCTCACCATCAGGATCTTTGAACCATCTTAATGCTGTCAAGTATGATCAGAATGGTTGTTGTTGCAGTTGTACTGCTCAACCACTGTCAAACTGGGAGTGCAGAAATTTTTTGTTTCAGACTACGAAGGCAGGAAAGAGTGAATGTTGATGAATACTGGTGTATTACAGCTTTATGTGAAGGGCAAGAAAGAGGGTGAATGTAGATGGAATCTGGTTTATTACAGCCCATCAACATTGCTCTCTCCAGTCTCCACCCATGAATTCGTTCCCCAAGACTTGACCTTTCCAGTTTGTAAGGATGTCTAGAATGCTTCCCTTTTTTATCTGCTTATTGGAACACCAATACAATCGCCTCACAGCTCTCGGCTTATTAGTTAGCTAGTTTGATCTTCTACAAGCCCTCCTTTTGTTACTGTTATGAATTTGCTCTTTCTTGAAGGTGTGGTGCAACATGATTTTTCTCGGAAACCTTCTTGCTGACTTAACTATTAGTGCAATTGTGTAATATGGAGTATTACACAATTACACAACTGTGATTGTTTAACATGGGAGTACACTGTTCTTCTGCCTAATTGCAGGTATATTTCCATGACATACCTGATGAGATCATTGACAGCCTGGTAAATTTTGACAGTGTCCTTAAATAGGGGATGTTCTTTACCTGCAACATTAACTATTAATGCAATTGTATAGATTGAGGAGGGAATAATACTTAATGTTGCTGGTGGATTAATGCTTGAACATCCATTGACGTTGCCCTTCGTTGACACTCTGGTTCATCTCTCTCTCTCTCCCTCTCTCTTTGCAGCTTGGAACTGCCGATTACTGACCTGTTCTTTATACTGTTACTTTCCAATACCTTGCAGATTGGAACTGCTGACAGTGTCATGGGACTCCCAAGAAGTCTCACTGAAAAACTTATCGAAGAAACACTCTAGCTGCTGGAATTCCACAAATGAATATCCTTTCAATCACCTCTCCTGAAATGTAGTTGATTACTCTCACTAGATTTTTGAGTTTATAAACTTGTCTTTCTGAAATGAACATTTGAAACATGCCGAAAGGAAATAGCTGAAAGACACTCTTCTTTCAAATATCACTGTTGAATTATTTGATTTGATGTAAACATCGTGATCAGGAACGATTTGATACTCATACAACTTGGAAATTGATTCAATAAGGAAAATATTCTGCACAAGAAAACATTTTTATGAGAGATGCTTCTCTTTGTACGGAATGTAAGCTAGTGTTCGGTATAGCAAAAGTTTTCCTGATGAAATTGTTTTCAGTGTTTGTTAATCTTGAATTTCGAAATATATTTCCTCCAAGAAAAATATTCTCCATCAAAGTGAAAAATGACTCTAGTTCACTTATAGAATGAAATTTTTTTCTTTTATAGACGAACTTTTATATGGTAAAATTTCTAATTAAAAGAAAGAGGGAAATTTTTTTCAACTTCCTTTTTGTTTCTTATTCTAATGTATTTATTAAATAAGTTATTTTATCGTACTCAATTAGAGAATTTTTCAAAAACAATTTCTATCTTCACAAGGTAGGAGTGTACACTCTATCCTTTGCATATCTCACTTATAAGATTACACTGAATATGTTGTTGATATTGGTTGGGGTTAAATGAGTCATTTTAATAATGGTCATTAGTTGAAGAAACTAACTATGATATTAAGAAGGGCAAATATGTCAAATCATATAGAATAAAAAAAAGAAAAAAAGATAGACATAATACCATAAATCACAAGAGAGATCATTGAGTGAAACCTAGAGGTAAGCCTCTAAATTGCTAAAATAAAATACTTTGAAACTTTTTTGTGAGTTTTTTTTTTGGGTTTCCGTAGCAATAAATACTATTCCATTCATTTTAATTTGTTTGTCCTATTTTGACTTGATATAAATGACATGTTAAAAACTAAAATAAAAGAAAAGAATTATCATTAAAAAAAACATATTCGTTTTTGAAAGGACTAAAAAGGAAAAATAAATGAAAGGATTACTCTATTTTTCTAAGTGGGCTTTTGGTCTCATAGTATCCTTCTCTTTCAAGAAGCAGTTATAGGCCCAACTTTTTTAATTTCTTGTGTTGACGGAAAGAGCCCTCGGAACGCTCCACTGACCGGTGAACTGCGGATCTCCGGTGGTTTTTAGGTTTGCTGAGGTAGCGATTCAGAGAAAGCCTGGTATGCTGTTATTCTTATTCTTACTAGTTTCTCCTTTTTCTCATCGAAATGAATTGCTCGTTATTTGCTTACATTTTGTCTTTAATTAATATCTGAAAATTGTCATACATATGAGGTGTTCGATGAAATTCCTCTATGAATGTATTTTAATGTGATGTTTCTGAAATGAGATTGTTATTTCCGCCATGAAAAGTCAATCCTCACTAGGCTTCTTTTCTAGTTTTGTGGCCTATATAATTTGGATTTTGTAGTTTTCAGTTGACAGTTACTGACTGTTTTGGTGAGTGATAATAATAGTTACGTCTCAGGAGATTATCATGCCTTCAAGCTGGTCGAAGAAATCCCTTAATGAATTTATTTGAATGTTACGCTTCTGAAGTGAGAGTATGGTATAACACTCTATTCGTAGTGGTCGAATAAGTCCCTGCTCCACTCATTGGCAATTTAGCTGAACTCATGACTTCTCCTGGGGGTTTGGTAAATGTTCTTTCTGCTGACTTAAACAAGTTTGTGAAACCCAAAATGCAGATTGAGAATCGGCATAATCTGTAATACTTGAAGATCAACAACCAATTCCTCTTAGAGCACTTAAACCTTTCTTTTTCCTTTTCGATTTTGGTTTTCATTTTCCTAATTAGCTAGTCTTTGCATCTTGAGAAGGTTTAGGAATGGTTGTTGTTGCTCATCATTTGAGCTTTTTTAATTGGTCATATATCTAATTGTAGGAGTTAATTTTACCCTTCATTATATTACATATCTACATCGGAAGAAACCCTTGCTTGTTCCCATTTCCCTTGAAGTGCAAACTACCTAAAATCTAATGATCAGAGATTGTAAATTAATTGCCTGCTTGTGAAACTCAACGAATGATGTCGAAATTATTTGATTAATCAATAGGTGAGAAATCGAGCAAGTTGACATGCTATTCCATGTGTTTTTTTTTTTTTATGACAAGGGAAACCCGCAGCCGCTACCCTTTGGGTGCGCACAGGGTTAAACCCCCTCTCCTATACAATAGCTCGCAAACCACATAGGAGAGGTAACCCGCACTAGGCAATCCCGGTGCGACGAGCTCGACCCAGAAGGCAAATCCCTTGCTTTCGCTGGCAAGGGGTTTCAAACTTGAGACCTCCAACATGGAAGTCCCAAGCCTAAACCACTGGGCCACCCCGAAGGGTACATGCTATTCCATGTTAATAAAGAATAAAAACATGGATACAGTTTCTATGGAAGACCATATGGAGGACATGCTCCTGCTAGAGTACGACAAGGCATAACAATAGGTTGGTTATATGCACATGCTTTAATTGTTCATCTTATTTTAAAATTAGTCATCAGCCAATTTTCTAAGATTATATCAGGGTCATTTTAAAAGTGGTCCAGTTCTTTTAATTTAGAAGTAGAACTGAAAGATCTGCTTCACCTGTTGGTACTAATGAAATTTGAATTGATTTTCTTGCTAAAAATTGACATTTAACAAATTCTTAAGGAGCATATGTTGCCAGTGAAAGGAATAATGCAATATGCTCGGTTTGAGTCTAGGGTCTATCGGAAACAACCTTTCTACCTCCCATGGTAGGGGTAAGGGCATACACCCTACCCTCCCCAGGCCAGATACCACTTGTGAATTACACTATGTAAGTTGTTGTTCTTGTTGGCCAGTGCCTGTGGTTCTTCTTCTGCCATCTCTCCATCTGATAAGGAAAACTGAAATTAGTTCCTGGAGCTACTGACAGCAAAATTATGCTGAAGAAGAGTGTAAAAGTGCTTAGACAAACTGATTCAGAATGTGAAATAAAAGTGCTTAGACAAACTGATTCAGAATGTGAAAACAAACTGTCTGAATTGATTTTATTAGTTGATAATCTGTATTTGTCATTTATTTCCTTTAAAACAAAATCTTCCCCCTTTTTGGATCAAAAGGAAAATCACTTTGTACACCCAAGGGACAGCCTAGTGGTCAATGAAGTGTGTTAAGCACCACGAGGTCTCAGGTTCAAATACTAGCCCAGCAGAGACAAAAAAACTATGTGGTTTATTCCCATATGTTCTAGCCTTTGTGACATAGTTACTAGTACCTGTTGCTGGTGGTAGGTAACATGTATCCCGTGGAATCAGTCGAGTGGACACCATGATTATCAAAAAAGAAAAAAAAAAGGAAAATCACTTTAGTTGTCTTCCCTTCCTAAGCAGTTTTCTTTTGTGTAGCCTAGAGACTAATCAGATTTTCAGTCACAAAGTGGCACTGCATTTCCTACTCAACTGTTGTAGTTGTTTTGCCCGAGTATTAGTCACAAACCATTATGTTAGATGTCCTAATTCTAGAATTAATACTTGGCAGGTTCGTCTCCCATAGTGGAAAAAGAATGTTGCTGTTGTATTATTTTTGAAACTGATTTTTTTTTTTTTGGAAACTGAAATTTGCTGCTGTTGTATTATTGTCTAGGTCTTTTTCTCATTTGGCATGTTCCGGTTGTATTATTGTCAAGGTCTTTTTCTTGTTTGGCCTACTGATGTAGCTTTTGTCATGTTATCTCCTATTTCAGCTGATTAATAAAAGTCATCCAATGGAAGCTAAATTCTTCCGCTTTCTCAAGATTGTTGGAGTTGGTTTCAAGGCTAGGGCAGAATCGGAAGGTCGTCTCTTGTACCTTAAGCTGGGTTACAGCCATGAGGTTGAACTGACCGTTCCCCCTGCAGTTCGTGTCTTCTGTTTCAAACCCAATGTGGTTTGCTGCACTGGGATTGACAAGTATAGGGTACATCAATTTGCTGCTTCTGTAAGGAGCTGTAAGCCTCCTGAAGTTTACAAGGGCAAAGGTATTATGTACATTGATGAAGTGATAAAAAAGAAGCAGGGAAAGAAATCAAAATGAGAACCATTATTCATGGTTCTTTCTTGGGCTTGGTTCTTTCTATGAGGCTAGACAATTTTTCTTTAATTATCTTTCCTATTTGTAGTTTTGTTCTCTAACTGCTTGAGTACTTTAAAAAGTTTAGAGTTGCTTCCTAATGTAATTTTGTTTTCCGACTGCTTGAGTACTTTTAGAAGTTAGAGTTGTTGAAGGTCTTTACCTCGGTCACAGAAGTTGCTAAACATCTCAATGACAGTTTTTGTATCAATTTTTTCATCCTTTCAAATGCTACAAATAAGTGATGGACGGTGTTGATGAATTTGTGGTCTTTATATGCACAGATTGTTCTCTGCTTCTATAAAAAAAAAATTGATAAATTTCATCAAAGTTTTTATAACGTAATAAAAGCGTGTTAATGTAGTCAGAGAATGCTCGGAATATATAGCAATATACGTATGAGTAAATCTATGGTGCATGAAAGTAGAATATTATTTTTCTCCAAGTTTTTATAAAGTATAATAATTTGTTAATATGATCAGAAGCCATCCCTGCATACAAACTGGTACAATTTTCAATCATGCATTAGGAATATAAGTATCTTGAGGCAATATGTTTTTTGAAATTGTTGGGTGCCAACTGCCAAGACCCTATTAGTAACTTCAATAATAGAATATTTTTGCTACAAACAATGATACATTTTTGACAAAACTTAGCTTAAAATATATACATTTTTACAAGAAAGAGATCACTTCCTATTTTGAGTCTGTTTGTGGCAATTTGTAACGACGCATCAGACAATTTGGATTTTTAAGAAGCCAAGTCTCAATGCAGCCAAAATGAAAACTGTGATGGCAAGGCATGATGTATGCTTCTTGTTCAGGTAAGTAACTCCCCATGCATATCGAACACTCATCTATCAATTCGTTTTTTGGAAGTTGTACTCTCTGTAAGAACTGCATTCTTGATCTAACTTATTTTTAACCTATATATTTTAATGTCATGATCTACCAAGCCAAAAATCTTAGTTTATACTCTACAATGTCACCTATTAGAGCTTTTAGGAAATTATTCTTTTATATTAAATTTCATCAAAATTATCATGAAGTACTGGATTAATGATTTCGTTAATGTGTTTAGAACCTATCCTGGTATACATATTAAATTAAAGAGCTAACTAAAGTAATAAAGCAAGTGATGTACAAGAGTACTGAATTTCCCTAAGAAAATATGTCTTAAATTTCAATCAATCATTGTAAATACAAGTTTTTCTAAGCTACACATGAACTTTTTTACGGGTCAAAAAGGAAGTTCAAAAGTTCAAAAGACCCCAATAGGTCCCGCCCACACCGTGTATTTATGCTTAGAAATACCTTTTGTGAATTCAGAACTCATAAACTCAAACTTCTAGCTCCGGCTCTGAAGTCTCTATCGCTGGCAACTTATAACGACACATAGGGCAACTTGGATCTTTAAGGATCCACGTCTCAAAGCAGTTAAAATGAAAATTGTGGTTGCAAGGCATGTTGTATGCTTCTGAATCAGGTAAATAAGTCTCCATGCATATGGAACATATGTCTCCAGTCAGTGAATCATCATGGTTTGGCAAATTTACTTTCTTTAAAAATTGAATCTTTGATCTTACGACAGGTAGTGACCTAAACTCCTTCCTAGCTTGCTCAATAAAAGACTCTTTTAATTCCCTTTCATAATTCTCATCATAACACATATTGCTCCGCACAGATATGCCATTCACAATATTTTCTATGAAATATTCCATCCATTTAAATTCTTCGTATAAAGACGATGATCCTCGTTGTTTCACTCTCATGATCTTGTCATGAACTGATTTCCAAAGTAACTCCGCAAAATATTCTCTATCTGCTGCAACAATTCTTGCTTTCGTAAGTTCAAATTCTTGCAGATTTACGGATACTTGCTTGACAAATATCAGGTTTACAATAATTTCATCCAAATATTCGTGTGGAGGACGTGTAACAATGTTGTGATGAGTGTATTCCAAAATTTGTTTGATTAAATCATCCTTGTTAGCTAATATTTTCTCAGTACGATTAATCCACTTAACCCTTTCTAATTGATAAGGAAAATTAGTTCCCAAAAGCATTTCATCAATTTTATCCCACGATAATGACTTGTACTTACAACAACATGTATTATCACAATTGAACTCTTCCAAAGTGCTCTCACCATAATTGTAAGCATATTTGACAATTAAATTAATCTCCACGTTAAAATCGTCAACTGGACAATCTCCTATAGAATAAACAATTTCAGGAGACACACGAATTTCACTATAAGTGGATGGCTCCATTATTTGATGAAATTAATTAAATTTATAAAAGCTTTAATATTGATTATGAAAGGTTGTTGAGCTTCACCATTCGTATTTATAGAGAAAAAGGCTAGGGTTGATTTTTTTAAAATTGTTTTTGTGTTGGATTAGGATTTTTTTTCTGCTTTATATAGTCATCAATCTTTCTTAATACTTTTCGATTTTGATTTCCAATTTCCGAATTACTTAGGATGTAAAACTGCAATTATGGTAAGTTAGATTTGTAATATGTCTTGCCTTAATAATTTCCTAAAGAAAACATGAAAAGTAAGGCTTAGCTTCCTTTCCCCTATGATACCCTTTCTAATAGCGAATTGAGTCTTTTACTTATGAAAAAAAATAACATTATTAACCTTTAATTAAACAAACTCATCTAAGATCATTGTATATTAATTTTATTTTTAGCATAACTTTGATTTTGACCCGTGTGATTTCCAGACTAGCAGTTGCCGTCCTCAATTTTATCAAATTGATGCATTCAAACCCTTCATCTAAAAGATGCGTCAATTTTTTAAAAATTAAACTCAAGGACCTAATTTGTACTTCTAATATTGGAACTTAAACTTATAAAAATTAAAATCACATTACTTGGAGAAAAAGGTATTTTTTTTTCCTTCTCTTTTCGTTAATGTCGAATCGAAATAGCCTGACTTCCTTCTCAAGATAAATTTGGCCATCTTTTCTTGCTAAACAAGTCGATTTAATTTCCTGTACAATATTTTTAGTTATCTATAAATATAAGTCATTAACGATCAAATTTTAGTTATTCTTATTAGCTTTTTTTAGTTACATTATTATTATATTTTGCAATTGGTATTTAAGAAATCGAAGCAATGGAATTGGAAGTAGGAAAAGGCCAAGACGAATCTGCTGTAACTTCTTGTGGATGGAAGAGGTCCATTGATGGTCGCTTTATGAGCAATTTGAAGGATTTTGTGAATACCCCTATGGCTGATCACAAGGTTTGCTTCAAAAATACTATTGACGAGGTACATCTATATCTTGGCTTCAAAAATAGTAGCTAGTATTTTGTTTTTTGTTTGAAATTGGTGTTGTTGGTTTGTAACAGAAGGTTGAAAATTTTCTAAAGCAAGTTCATAGGCTTAAAAGGTGGGAAAAGTTCTGCGACCATCCAATGGCTGCCCGCAGAGGAGAATCATTAGAGATTAGATCGGACATGACACACGCATATGCAGCTTTTGATCAATTTTATTAGTATTTCAGTTCCGTTTTGTTTTTTTTTTCCTTCAATGACATTCCTTGAGTTACTTGATAAAAAAGTTTGCAATTTTAGTATAATTAAAAAATTTACCAAGAATTTGCACTTTGTTTTATTATAATGTTATATGTATTTACAGACTATAATTTATAAGTATGGTATACGTATGTAAAATCACAAATTAAATACTATCAAGCAATTTGGTTATATGTGGTTTTGTCAAACACAAAAAAAAACAACCAAACAACTACTTATTTCATTACCCAAAAATAGTTTCTCAGTAATTCAACTTCATAAATAGAAGGAAAAAAAAACAATGAAATACTAAAAGTTATGAGAAGTCAGCAAACTTATGCACCACTAGTCATATTTACATCTTTATATAATCAAACTTTTTCCCCGAGTTAAAAGGAAAATATATTTTATTTTTTTCTATTTGGTGTTTGATGTCTGCATTGAAAGTAATTGCAGCGAACCCTTCAACGAATGATGTCATATTCGATTAGTCATTAATAGGATGGTCATTGGCCGGGATTGACCTCAAGTCACAAGGCTGAATTCCCTCACTTCTACTAGCAGACTAAGTGCAATTCTATGCTCTATGCACTCTTTATTATATTCATTATTTCTACTAGTTTCTTATACATGATTTTTTCCTCTACATGTGGGTCTACCTCTGATTCAAATGTCTCATCATTGCACCAATATAGTAAGAAACGTAGAATTACTTTCTTTTACACATAAATGACTCATTGATGGTCTTCAAATTCTTACTCGTTGATGGTCTCCACATGCTTAAAGGGTCTAAATTTAATCTCAAGTCTAAACCGTTGATTGTCTCCACATACTTAAAGGGTCTAAATTTAATCTCAAGTCTAAATTGTTGATGGACAAAAATATTTTCATTATCACACTATACATAACAGAAGAAAAGAAAAAAAGTAGTATTTATCAAAATTTAAATTTAATATTTATCATAAAAATTTATCCCTAATTCATAAATGCCTAAATTGTGTAAATGTTTTCTACATTGTTAATATGAGAAAATGTCATAAATAGTCCTTTAACTATAGGAGTAGGTCAAAATTGGTTCCTTAACTATACTTTTGTCAAATTTTGTCCTTTAACTATTTAAAATTTTATCAGTTTTGACCCCTTAACTATACACTTACCGATTTTAGTCCTTTAAGTATTCAAAAAAAACTTAACAACTTTGATCCCTTAATATATACTTACCGGCTTTAGTCCTTTAAGTATTCAAAAAACTTATCAAGTTTGGTCTTTGTCTTTTAAAAAAAATATAAATAGCTTAGATTTATATTAACGAAACTCTTCATGAAATTAAATCTTTAACCCATTTTAAGTTGTTTCTTTATCCCCGCTACTTTTTCTTTAAATTACTCTTATGAAAAGAACAATAACTTCAACGATTCAAAAAAAAATCAACGAGAAAAGAAGATATAAGTCCTAATTTTATTCAACGGAGAATAAAATGAAGCATATAATTGTTGCTAATGACTTGAATATGTTGTGTTCCCTTTTTTGGCGGTTAACGGTTCATAATCAACCCAAAATTTGTTGAATTTCTTTTTCATACAAAAGAAAAATAAGAGATTTAAACTTTTTAACTCAAATTTCTCTACATCAAATAAATGAATAGAATAATAAAATCAATCTATTTTTTTTATAAAAAAAAAAGAAAATAGTTGCAAATCTACAATTTTATAAATTTCAAGTTCTGAAAATTAAGCATATTCCCTTCAATAAAGTCATTGGAGTGCAAATTTTGAATTCAATTGGTAATAATTTTCTTTCTTTTTATAATAAAGTTTAACATATTCAAATCATTAGTAGCTAATATGCTTCATTTTACTGTTCATTGAATAAAATTATGACTTATATTTTTTTTTCTCATAAATTTTATTTTTGAATCATTGAGGTTAAAGTTCTTTGCATAAAGGTAATTTGAAGTAAAAGTAGAAACAATTGGAAAATAGCTAAATGATTTAATTTCTCGAGACATAGATTCTGTTAATATAAACTTAAGTTATTTGTATAAAAAATGGACATAAACCAAAACTGATAAGTTTTTAAATACTTAAAAGACTAAAATCGATAAATATAACGTTAATGACTAAAACGGACAAATGTATAATTAAGAGACCAAATTGCATCCAACAAAGATATAGTTAAAGGATCATTTTAGACCTACTCGTGTGATGAAGGCAATAAACATTTTCTCTTGTTAACACTTTTTTAATATTCACAAAACTGGTTTTCCTTCTCGTTGGTGCTCCTTTCCCTCAATTCGTTGATTTTGCTTTGATAGAATGAATCTAAAAGGTTTCAAATTCAAATGTTTAAATATGAAAAAAAGTTCTACAGGAGGTTATTTTCGATAAGTATCTGTATAAGTGGCCAATGAACACGACAAATAAGAGAACTATTAATAATGTACGACTATTTTTTTTTTTATATATATATTATATTTATTTTTATATACAAGATAAAGGAGGGAAAAGGCCAAGCAAGCTCCAATAAACTAAGCAGCAGAGTGACCAGTGTTGAAGCTCGGATAGATTCCCTTTCCCTGTTCAAAGAGTTGCTATTGTTAAAATCAGTGATTAGGCAAAAAAAAAAAAGTTTTAAAATGTGGAGACAATTCCGAAAATTTAGCAGTAGCAGCAGCAGCAGCAGCTTCAGTGCAAAAGAGAAGAAATGGGATGCTCTGATCATCGGCGGTGGTCACAACGGCCTTACAGCTGCCGCATATCTCGCTCGTTCCGGTCTCTCCGTTGCCGTTCTCGAGAGGCGACACATCATAGGCGGTGCTGCTGTCACTGAAGAACTCATTCCTGGTTTCAAGTTTTCTCGTTGTAGTTACCTACAAAGCCTCCTTAGACCCTGCGTTATAAAGTGAGACCTAATTATTGCAATCATTTTATTGTTAGTATTGATTTATTTTTCTTCAATTATTGGGAATGCGTTATGATTAATAGAGAATTGGAGCTGAAGAGACATGGATTGAAGCTACTGAAAAGGAGTCCTTCATCATTCACGCCTCTTCTCGACGGACGCTATCTTCTGCTTGGTTCTGACAAGGAGCTCAACTATTCTGAGATTTCAAAGTTTTCTAAATCTGATGCTGATGCTTATTCAAGGTTCAGTATTTATTTTTATACTGGTCGTTACTTCAACTTCAATGCATTTTCTGGAAACTTTGTTTGCTGCAATTTTATCTTTAAAGGACAAAGAGAAACTTGTTAAATAATCATGTTTACTACGCGAGAGTTGAACCTTGAGCAATTCATTTTGTCGAAAAAGCATTTAATTATTTTAAGGCGATTTAAATGCAACAGTGTTGATGTGAACTAGACTATAAGATGAAGGAGATACATAAGTGTAGAGCCATTTATGGTGGATTAACTCCTATAAATTAGTGAGAATACTTTGGTGAAGCTCAGATTATGACTATGATTGGGAAATAGATATGGCATGTAGCTCGCATCCAGATCACTGGAATCAGGCTCACCTTTCTTTAATACTGAAATTTCATGTGTCCATTGTTCTTGACACTTTCAAGATTGACATACTCAAGAAGGAGAACCCAAGGGTGCTTCACATGCTAACTTAAAGGCCAGAAAAAGATAAGTTCCCTGCCAAAATTTCCAGGTTTGGAACCCTTCGGGGTGGCCCAGTGGTTTGAGCTTCGGACTTCCATGTTGGAGGTCTCAAGTTCGAAACCCCTTGCCAGCGAAAGCAAGGGGTTTGCCTTCTGGATCGAGCTCGTCGCACCAGACTTGTCTAGTGCGGTTTACCTCTCCTATGTGGTTTGCGAGCTATTGCATAGGAGCGGGGGTTTTACCCTGTGCGCACCCAAAGGGTAGCGGCTGCGGGTTTCCCTTGTCATCAAAAAAAATAAATTCCAGGTTTGGAACTTGATGATAATTTAGCGGAATTTGAGGATTGAGCTCACTTAGAACCCTAAAGTCTGTATGAGAATTCATATATTAGTTCTTTCTGTTCATCATTTTTGTCTATTACTATCATATTCTAAATTTTGAGTTACCAAGTGCCACCTAATTATAGGTATGAGAGTCAACTTGACAAGTTTTGCGAGTTTATGGACCCACTTCTGGATTCGTCTACACCAGAAACTCTACAAGGCTCTTCACATCTCAATACTCGTATAAGGCACAAATTGCAAAATTCAGCGTTTTGGGCTAATTGTCTCCGTCGAGCACTCCACTTGGGACAGAAGGACCTAGTGTAAGATGTTCTAGATGGTCCTGTTTGCATAATTTCACCAAACTTATTATTATCAGTTGGACAAACTAGGGCAACATCTACTCTAAAATAGTATGAAGTCTCGACTTCAACTGTCATTGTCCATCCTTGTTTAATTGTTTCCACTGAACTTTTCAGGGACTTGATGGACCTTTTACTCGCCCCAGCTTCGAAGGTTTTGAATAACTGGTTTGAGGTTGCAAATTTTTTACTATTAATTTTCTTTTACTTGTTCTATCAGTCTGCTTAAAATAATTCTGTTTCATATGAAGTGTCCCAAGGTTGTAGATTGTGACCCAATCAATGCTTTCTATCAATACTTTGTGTTGAGCATGCTTTTGTCGTTAGATAGTGTTGGGAACCTAAGATGAGGAGTTCTATAAGCTTCTAATTTTGAAGGCTAATTATCATTGTAGTAGAAAGTTTTCTGTTGATTTGTATCTTTCCAGATTTTTTATTCCAATTGTTTCCTTTATCTTTGTTTTGTCACAACTTGTCTTAACTAGATCAGAAGTAGCTCCATCTGTCTTTATTGGAGTGGAGGAGGTTGTCTTGTTATTGTATCTTCTTTACCACCAATATTCAGTTATTCTTTCCTCAATCAATTATAAATGTCTTCTTCAATCAGGTGAAATGTGTTGTGGGGGAATGGGCGGATGGGGCAGAGAAGCGTAAATGGTAATGTCTCATTAAAATTCGAAACAAACAGAATCTTTGA